TGGATGTACACAAAACGGTTAAAAAAAAAAACATAAAATAAAATAACATAGACACGCGTTTTCTGGGTGTCTTTAAAAAATCAAAATCGCGTCATCACACTATACATTGTTATACTTGCTTTTTTTATTTTTTTTGTGCAACGAGTAGACACAAAATCTATGCTACCGCCATGCACTTTATATGCGTACTTATGCGACATCAACTATACTGCAAGGAGGATGCACTATGTACCTACACGCCCGTATGTGGACGCTAAAAAAAAAAAATTAAAACAAAAATACGTAGGAAAAAATACTGAAGGGGAAGGAAAAAAAAAAAAAAATTAACGCGCAAAAGAATCATGCGCCAGTGGTGGTGGTGGTAGTGGTATTGTATTTACACACGTCCGCACACATTTACTTATGCCTACAGGACGCCTCAAACAAAAATGGCTGTTTGTACCCTGCGAATCGGAGCACTTCTCATCAGTGTGCACACGCATAGACGCGACACATAGTGCTGTTGTGGGGTTGAAGCACTTCATGGTGAAGTGGCTGTCTTTATCTCCTTTGCGCAGGCGATTTTGCCAGGCCGATCGGTCCTCTCCTCTTTGGGAAGACTTCTCCCCGTGTGTTCACTTCTTCTTTATCATTTTCTTCACCTTGTTGCTCTTCATGCTGTTCTTGTTCATGTTAACATTTTTGTTCTTTCCTCCAGCAGCGTTGTTGCTCTTCTTAGTCAGGTGCTCCTTCTTCTTGTCTATCTTCTTATTGCCAACCTTCTTATTGGCCTCCTTTCCCTTGACGTTATTCTTCGCGCCTGCCTTGTTCACATTATTCTTCATGGGTTTCTTATTGGCATTTACGGCTCCACTTTTGTGCTTCATTTTCCCCTTGTGGTCATTCTTGCTGCCAGCTCCTCCCTTCTGTTTATCCTTACCCTTGATATTTTTTTTGTTTAAAATTTTATTTCCCTTATTGTTATTTTTATTGTTCTTTGCTCCGTTAGTCTTGACATTTTTATTGTTTTTGTTTTTCTTCTTGTCGTCTTTTTTGCTCTCTTTTTTAACATTCCCTCCTGAGCCTCCTTTTTTGTTGTTTCCCATTTTGCCTTTGGCAAGCTTATTTTTAGACTTCACTTTTTCATGCTTCTTTTGTTGTCCTTTGTTGTTCATTTTTTTTTTTATTTCTTTTTTTACAGTGATTCCTTTCTTGGCTGCTTTGCCACTTTTGTTTGCTCCGTTGTTCTTCTTCTTGGAGCTCTTCTTTTTGCTCTTTACTACATTACCTGCTCCTGCTGCAGCACCATTTTTTGATTTCTTCGATTCGGATGGGGTAGCAACTTTCTTCTCTTTTTCATCTTCATGGTTCTTTCCTTCCTCTCCAGGAGTATTATTTTCGCCTCCACTACCTTCTGTGCCTTCCACTTTGGTACCTCCTTCTTCCTCATCTGCCTTACCTTCTTCCTTGATGTCTCCATTAATGTCTCCACCTTCTGTGTCATTCTCAACTGCCTGCTTCTCATCATCGTCTGCGCCTTCCACTTCATCATCCTCTGCATCTGCCTTCGCGTCCGTCTCCGCTTCGTCGTCCTCTTTCTCTCCTTTGAGGATAAAGTTCAATACGTTCTCTGCGGACATGCCTGGCTTTACCCCTTTTTTAAAATAAGACACTACAGAATCCTTTGTGATCACTGCGTGTGACCTGGCAATTCGGTCGTCCTCCTTGAGGCAGCCCATTTCCTTCAGTACGTTCTTCTCCACGTCGCAGAGCAGTCCGAAGGGCAGTTCCAGCTTCTCCTTCCATTTTAGCTGCGGAGGGGGGGGAAGAAAGGGAGAAACAGCATGTTAAGTGATGTGTCGACTAAAGCAACTGATGCAATGGATGCACCTGAAGAAACCGCGGAAGATGAAGCGATCCCATCAGCCAACTTCACATCTCATATTGAGAGGCGAGCCTCACCCTCACGGCGCGAAAGACACGTGCGATCGACACGTAAAAATGCGAAAAAGACACCACTAATAGGCCGACCAAGTGGGAAAGACATGCATGTGGAGGGATGTGGGAATAAACTCCTCCAAACCACATGCACATGATTCGCACAAAGGGGGCTAAACTTTGTCACACATGGGACTTTTCTCTCTAGTACATGCCATACCTGCGCATCAGCTGAATCGGCGGACAATCCATACACGGCATAGTTATTGGAGGTGAATTCCTCAAACTTCTCCTTAAATAGTTTGGCCTGTTCGGTACAGCCTGGTGTGTCTGCTTTAGGATACACAAAGATTACCACTCCATTGAAGTCCTTGTGTTTGTCGATTTCTCCCTGCAGGGTGGTGTGCTCGTTCTGCTCGTTCAACAACTCTGCGTTGAGAATTTCCTCCGTCAACTTGGTGTCTGGGTGGGGGAAGAAGTGAAGCGGACACGTGAAAGAGGTGGAAAAGCGAACGAATAAGCGTGCCAGATAGAATCGCACATGGGGCAGTGGCCTCTCCGCATGGTGTTGCAGGGACTCTGTGTGTGCTGGGGTACACACAGGGGAAGTGATACACTCAGACAGAAGCGCAGTACAGAACGATGGCGTATAAATCACTCTCCACTCATCATGCACATCTCCCCCTGTTGACCTCTCCAATGCAAACACGCGGCAAAGACACGCAGGTGGCACAGACAGACGTCCCCCCTGTCAAGTGCATTCGCATCTGCCTCCTCACGCAACTCTCAACTAATGAATATAATAACTTACTTTCTATCATTTTGACCAATGATACAAATGATTATTCGCAAAAAGGAGAAAAAAAAAAGAAAGAAAGAAGGAAAAAATCAAAGGGCGTTAAAACTGGTGAACGGTCTGGACTGACGTATACTACATACGCTTGGCAGAGGGAGTGTTTCACAGGGTGGAAAACAAATACACTTTAACACTATTTGTTTTGGCCGATGAAAATTGGCATCACAAATTGGACGAAAGAAAAAGAAAAAAACGCGTCACTAAACGGTCAGCAAATGATCGCTAAATGGTCCCAAAATAGTCACTGTACAGTCATCAAATTCTGCCAATTCGTCTTAGTTGCGCCAGATTCGCTAAACTTCTCTTTCATATGTCACTAAAATGTGTTAAACTTTGTATACATACTTGGTGTGGTAGTCGACGTATAAAATAATAAAATAAAAAAAATGAACTAAAGGAATGCTCTGCTAGTTTTGTTTTTTCGTTCAAACAAAATGGATGTGCAAAGGGGGGGAAAACGAAAATGGGGCGAACAAATTTTAATACCAATAAAAAAAATGGCGAATGGGAAATAAAATTCAAAACGAATTGTAAACTGAAACAGGAAAACAGGCAGTCAACGAAATGAACAGAATGAACAAACTGAGCGAAACGAACAAAACGAACAAAACGAACAAAATGAACAAAATCAGCAATGAATGGCGAGGGGAGCGATCAACGATCAACGATGCGATGAACGTAAACAAAAAATATACAGCGAACGGTGAACAAAAAATATACAGCGAACGGTGAACAAAAAATATACAGTTAACGGGGAACAAAAAATGCACTGTTAACGGTCAACAAAACGTACAATGCGTGATGGCAGCGATAATGGCAACGATAATGGTAATGACGATGACTATCACTATGTACGCATGAACGACGAGTGAAATAAAAGGTGAAACAGAAAATTTTTTGTTTCAATTTTTTCTGTGCATATGTGCATATCCACGCGTACACGAGCGAGAACGACGCGTGAACGCAAAACAGTCCCACCGGCAATCGCGAAAGTGAACATATATAATATATAATTCGTCTAACAACAATGGTCTGTGCTCCTTTGTGTTATATATTTTCACGCGCTCCAACCCTCCTGGTTGGTTCGCTTGATATTTTTGCCTGAGTAAATGGTCAGCGAAGGTCAGCGAATTGTCCGCCAATCGTCGTATTTGTTCGTACTCGCCACCACTTGCCCCTGGTTGGTGGTGCTTCTTCACCCACGAATCGGGGACAAACCGCTTGAAGTCGCTCTCACTGGACAGTGCGTCACTCCAACGAACTGGCAATTTTCACAAAATTTGCCTACAACTTGGCTTGATTTTACTTTATCCACCATTCAGATCAGTTTAAATTCGGTCAGGGTTGAAAAAAAAGAAAAAAGAAGAGCGAACTTCACACGGTGTTAAATAAAAGAAAAAAAATATATATATATTTTCTTTTTGCAAAGGCAAAACTGCCTTAATGCACGTATTTCATTCTTCCAACTGAATTGTCTCTTTATTGTCTTTTTTTAACGTTTCATTCTTTTTTTTATTTTTATTTTTTTTTTCTCCCTCCGGCAAGTACACACATATAAATACGCCCGTATCTTTTGCGAATACACACACGGGGGGCGGGGAGTGTACCCCCCCCGCGCTCGTTCACGTGTGTACACCTGAACAAATGGACCAGTGGGGAGCGACCCATTTGGTGGCTGGGCGCTGATGAGTAGACCAGGGGTCAATAGGCACCCACGAGTGACAACCACCGAACAGGTGTGCACACAGTCATCCCTCTCAGGTTGTTCTCCCATTTGTGTGTTCCTTGTTCCCTCATCAGACTTTTTCTGCACACGCTCTTTACTTCTCCTCCATTGCATTACGAGTTGGTGATACTGCTTTGGGGCGCTCCTTTGTATTACTCCTTTGTCATGTCCCTTCAAGTTTCTCTCCTTGTTGCTCTCCTTGTTGCTCCCCGATGTGCCCCCCTCAGCCAAAAAACCCTTGGGGAAAAGTGGAGAAATGTAAGTTAACTGCGCCTTCCGTCAACTGTACGAGTTACAACCTCGTCGCCCGGTACCCCTCCGCCTCATGAAAAGGCACACTCCGTTGACGGCTCCTTCGCCTTCCGTTCACCATCTCTTCACTCCCGGCACACCCCGCACTTGCACTGCGATTGCAGTGCATAATTGCGCATCATTTGTAACTCCTCTAACGACCAGTGGTATATGCACATGCACACAGGCGCGCATACAGGTGCATACTACCCAGCGCCTTTCCCACACCTGCACACCGTTCAAAGTGACCAAAGTGAATAGCTCTCAAGGGTCGTCACACAACCCTGCCTTTGTAACCCCTTCACAAATTACGTTTCCCCATCAGCTCCTCTCTTTGCTTTTCTCCCAAATTTTTTTTCTTAATACACCAGGTTAATTGAATGCGCACCGTTCAGAAAGGCAGGAATGGTACAATGCCGCGCAGCCGTGATGGAGCAACCAAAACTTCCAGCATAAACCAAACGGCCTGTTCAACCTAACTGGCTACGTTCGATAGTTCGCTATCTTGACATGATTACCCTCACTTGGCAATTCCGTTACGCACATTGCGAAAATGGGGGGAAAAAAAATAAAATACAAAAATAATCACATAGTGGGAGTTCTCCTCCCAATTTGCCCATCACATTTGCTTCATACTGAACGTACCACAAATGTGTATTCTGAAGGATACTTCCTCTCTTGCACACAAATGTGTGTACCTTCCCGATGGGACCTTTGATCGCGAAGGAAAAAAAAAAGCAAAAATCTATATGTCAGTTTTTTTTCCTTTTTCGCAGCAGTTATGTGCACATTTTAAAAAAAAAAAATAGCTAGCTAGCTGAGTGGCTAGCTAAAACGGTTTTATGGCTCACTATCGAGGGGATAAGAATTCCAACCATATCATTCTTGCAACTCCGTACGAGTATATGCCACTGTTGCCATCCGAACATGTTCGTATTCTCGCACATTAGAGGGTCTCACCTGTTAAGTGATATGGCAGCCACGCAGCGAAACAGGAAGGAAGTCAGTTAGACGTTTGGCCTATGGGCAACGCACACTGCGCGGCGATAACACCCATCACTTGTCGCCTTGCTCCACCTAACCCACGTTTTACAAATTATCACCTCCAACTGGGGGACTGTCGATAAGTTTGAAGCAGAATGTTTCCTCCATATCTTTTTGGTATGGAAACAAATGCGCAAAGAAAAATAAAAAAAAGAGAAGAAAAGAAGAAAAAAAAAACCGTCTTGTTTATGCGAATGGGGAGAGGTCAACACGAAATGGTTCCCCCCCTCCGCAGGTCTACACACAACTACGCAGCACGTATATGTTCATCCGTATTCACACATTTTTAATTAAAAAATTGAAAAAAAAAAAAAATTGCCGCTACCCCCCCCCATATCACATAACATGCAATGTGTTGGACTCGATACATCCTAGGTACTCATTATTAATCGTGGCAATTGCAAACATGTTTGACAAATCGTAGCGAATACCTTGCAGTTTTATCCTCACTGTTGTCTGCGGTTTTATGTTATACACTCCTGAGGAAAAACAGGGGTAGTGGGAATCCTCCGAGTATTCGAAGTACTTCGGAATGGCTGTTCTCGATATGAAAATTTTGAGCGGGCCTGCCTGAGCGAAGAAGCCCAGTTTGTTTACGTCCGTGACAACTGCATCGAGTACCTACAATGGGCAGTCAGGAAGGGAAAAAAAAAAAAAAAAAAAAGGGGAGCGTGTATTATATGGTATTCACACCGATCGGTTGAATCAACTCAATCCACGCATGCAAGAGGAGGGGGGTGCGCCGGGGTGAAGTTTCCCTATCAGCGTCCTCCACGATATTGGATCCCTTTCACGGGGGAGGTACAGTCACCCACCTCGTCCTTAAACGGCTTGAAGACGATGGCCTGGTATTTGACCTTCACGACGATCATGCTCGTCCCGTCTTGTACACGTCCAGGCTCACTATGAATTATGCGAATGACGCAAATTATGTACCCATACTTGGCATTACACTGACCTTCTACACTGTTTCGCAGCATATCTTCTATGAACTGCTGGTACCTCGGGCCCAGCTGACTTGGCTTTATGATTACATTTTTCCATTCCTCTATGACGAAGTACATTGTACGTTCGGCTGGACGCCGTCTCTTTTAGCTGCGTGGCGGTTTTATAAGGTGAGAGACCTGCTGCAGACGTGGTGAATTTAGAGGCGAGAGGAAGAGGAGAGGCTTGGTGACTACTTGTCCCGTTTTTGCCTCTTTTATGAACAATTTTCCACCCCTAATTATCGCTTTATTGCGCCTTCTCACGTTGCCCTTGTCGCGGCTCCCTCCGTTTGCGTACATACAACACTTTAGTGGATAACGCTTTGCAAAGGAGGGCCCTTTTTTTTCTCTCCTCTTGATCGAAATGCAGAAATAGGATTGGCAACTCAGAACCGCAGCATGGTAAGTGCGTGTGGCTGTGGTAACGTGTGACAACTCGAGAGATTTCGATGCAAAATGGGACCATGGGATGATGGATCATGAGATCATCAGATCATGGGAGCCTTTTTTTGTTGCTTTGTTTCCTTTTCCATCGTAAGGCGCGCGGAAATGTGGGAGAATTTGTCAACTTACAGGGCGCGGGTTCGGATGCTCATAAACATATGCACGTATATGTATGCATGTGTTTTTTTTTTTCTTTTTCGATGGAGATTCGGCCCATTTTTCCGTCGCCGCTACTCCGCACGTGCCTAGGGGAAAATAAAACGAGGTGGGGCTCCATCCCGCCGGTACAAATTGGCAACTGGTGCATTTAAGCTGGTCCAGCGCTGGAATCGCGATTGCGTATATGTTTGCTCATTGGGCGTAATAACCACCCCTTTCAACGTTGGAAGGGTAAATGTAGGAAGGAAGAAAAATAAAAAGAATTAAAATAATTAGAAGAATTAAAAGAATTAGAAGAATTAGAAGAATTAGAAGAATAATAAAAAAAAAAAACCACGTGGACCATTTACGCTTCAATTTCTTCACGCATATTCCGTGGTGCTGTTTTCTCCGCCCATGTGGCGATCATAGAAAGTCCATACGGAGGGACACACATCCAACCATGACTATGACAGCTGGGAAGTGTTCCAAGCACATTAAGAAGTTTTTCACAAATGGGTTGAAGAAAAATGTTCTTCCCTACTTCCTGCACTGCAAGAATAAACCCTTCCTCATGAACTCCAAATATGTGCAGAAGTACTCTCTCGAGTTTGTCCCCAAAAGTGTTATTAACAGGTCAGCTCGGAAGAGGGAGAGGCAGACAGGGGGCAGACAGAGCGAAGATGAAAGGACCCGCTGCACCATCTTGGCACTTTTCACAACAACACGTAAATAGCCGCGCACGTCTGACCATGTATTGCACACCTCTTCCTTTTCACGCCTCTTCTTTCTCACTCCTGCCCCTACCGCCACCACAGATACATCCAAGACAAACGGAGGATCAAAAAAGACGGGGAGTGAACAATTATGACGTTGTGAGGAGGTTCCCAGGGAGGGGAAGCAGCTGTCCCCACTTCGCTTCTTCACTTCGCTTCTTCACTTCGTTGCTCCACTTCGCTGCTCCACTTCCCCTCCTCACGAGGCCCACTCCCGCCGCATCACCCTTCGAATCAAATACTCCCGGATGAATAAGTCCATTCCCAAAGATTCCATCGCCTCTATTTCAAATTTTCGATTCAACGTCTCCATTTGGGTGAGTTCCCATCTCACCTTTGCACTGCACCTGAGGCTGTCACCATTTAGCATGTTTCGCAAAACATTTTTGTCCCGCCTGGATAACGCCAGGAGGGCCTCTTTCGGGATAAGCTCCATGTCCTGAGAGTTCATGCCCACCCATCGCATATCGGAACAAGCGAAGATGGCGTCTTCGTTGGTTTTGCAGCCCTCCTTGTAGCTCAAGTATATTCGGAAGCCGTAGGGGTCGTAGTCGCCCATGTAGACGCACTGCGGGAAGGGGAGGCGCAAAAGGGAAGCATAAACGGACGCGGACATGAAAGGAGAGTCGAAGTGGAAGCGTGGACATGCAGCTACGTCAGAGGCTTCCGATGAGGTGCCTTAGGTTGACTGGCTAAGCGAATCGCCGCCACACATGAAGACAGACCCGGTGACGCAGCCACCCGACGCAGCCACGCGACGCAGCCACGCGACGCAGCCCTCGGCCCACTTACCTCCAGCTGGAAGAGTTCCACCAGCTCGCAAATAATTTTCCGAGTCGAGAAATCTGGCATTCCCTTCCCGGTTATTAAAATGCAGGGCAAAATCTGGCGTAAAGGACAAAAAGGAAAGAAAAAAAATGGGGCAAAATGGGGGGAAGGACTACGCCCAGTAGGAAGTAAAATGCGAACCGTCACATTTGCATATGTATAGGTGCGTGTCGACACTTGATGGGTAACCCCCGTGTCCCCCCTCCCGACGGAATGCTCTCAAAGTACATTCCATATCTCCTTTTCGCATAGCTTCTGATATAGAGAATATTTTTCCACTACGAGGATGTAGTTTGCTTGACTCTCCACGCGGTCCACTTTTAAAAGGCTGTCATTAATCATTAAACCGTTTTCTGTAAGAGGGGGTATTTGGGGGAAAGCGTTTCAGGCGAATGAGTGTAGCCGCGTTTGGCACGTTTGATCTGCACTGCGCAGCTGCGAGAGGGAGTAAACATGCATGCTCATCCACCGCTGCCTGGGACGATACTCCCCTGAGGTGACACTCCCCTGCGACGTACCCACTTCGTTCAGATTCAAACGCTTGTTGTTTTTTCGAAGCACGAGAAGACCGCCTATGCACCCTGAGCGTTCAAGTGAAGTTGTCCACGTTGGAATTTTCCCATGGGGTCACTACGGGCAGGGGATGACCCAGCGGTGCGAAACGTAGCTGAGTGTCACGCACACCAGCATATGCAAGTGCATATATGTACACATGTATGTGCCCCCCAGAAGACACCCATTTTCACGCGCGCAAAACGACTCGCGCGAATCGAAGCGATCCTCATTGAAGGGACCTTTTTCCGAGGCATAGACATTTAGGGAGGCCCTGGGGAATCCCAAGATGCGGCAAACATGCTGAAGGGGTGGGATGGGCGCGCAAAAGGGTTCTCTCTGTAAGGGTAACTCTCCTGTGGGTAACTCTCCAATCGGGTTGCTCCCCCATATGGCTGCCTCCACGTGCACGCTGTCCTCACCAGAATGTGCCGATTCGTTTGGCACTGCTCGCTGAAGAGGTTGTACAGCTTGTAGTATATTTCCCTCTGCGTGCAGCTCTTGTCCTTAGTGAGGGGATAAGAAAAATGGTCGTTTGTCGCAAAAAGGGCTAAGCTAGTCAGTCCCATATCCCCACAGCAAGGGAACTCATCTGGATTACACATTTCAGAGTCGCCTCTCGGTGTAACCACTTCTCATTTTTCTCCCCCTTTTTAAGTTAAACCTGAATGATCATGTCGTTGACGAGCTCTACGACGGATACGGCTGCGGGGTGGGTGGCGTGACAACATATGTACGGAATGGACACAAAGGAAGGGCGAATTAAAATGCGCAGACGTAACTGTACGCATGCTTCGCCACGTCTCCACGCCTGTACGCACTCCTGCAGAGCCCCACGAGGCGCCGGTTGAGGAGGCGCCGCGGGTACTGCTTCTCCGAGTTGGCCTTAAAAATGTCCACGTCAAAGTTTAGCAACCAGGACATTACGTGGAGGACAAAGTCCTCTATTTCTGCGAGCGCGAATTGGTTGAGCAGAGCACATGAGAAAATGGCACTTAGTCGTACATCCCCCGTAGGTAGGCTCGCTGAGGTGGAGCCGACCGGGGATCCAAACACATATGCAGACATATCTATGCATCTACATCTGCCCTCTTATGTACGCCCGGTAACCTTCAAATATCCTGTCCTTCTCAGCCCCATGATGGTCCATCGTTTGGAAGGATACACCAATCACTACGTCTTTTAATTTGGTGGGAAAAGGAAAAGTTCACGAAAACAACTTTTACAAAAAAGCACACATTTGTGCACATTGACCGAACACGCATAGTTGCATAAAACGAAAGAACATGAAGGGTAATACAGGTGTAATGTTCCCACGACGTTAATGCATAGGCAAGCAAATCGAGGAAAAAAAAATAGCAAACTGGTTGAATGGCTCACCAAAAGTGTATGTACAAGTCAGGCAAAAATTTAAAAAAAGAAAAAAGAAAAAAAAAAATTGCACACAGGTGGGAAGTGCCCCGTTGCTAACTACATCCACTTATGTGTGGATGCCTGCGGAAAGGATGTTCAATTTCACCACAGTGTTTTCATATGCGCAGGGATAGAGACAAATTTCCTGCAAATCAGTAAAGACTCGTTTGTTTCATTATGCTGAGGAATTCCTCCTGGCTGATTTCGCCGTCCATGTCCTTGTCAAATTCGTCTATCATCGCTTGCAGTTCGTCGTCGGATAGGTTCTCTCCCTGCATGAGCGTTGTGTGAGCGATGTGTAATCGATGCATGAGCGATGTGTAATCAATGCGTAAGCGATGTACAAATGCCGTGTTAGCACTAGCTACACTTTGGCCGGCCGCCCGATGGCCTCACCAGTTCTCGGGACACTCTCCGCAAATTCTTCAGCGATATTTTTCCTGTAAAGTTGGGTCAATTTGAAACGTGAAAAAAATATGTCGAGGGGGTGTGCAAGTCAGTCATCTCATCCTCTACAAGAGAAGATGCAAAGATATGGCGGAAAAGCGAAATAGCAGTCCAATTGCACATTCGCCGGTAGGCACCACTGTGAAATGGCAAATTGGGACACATAAGAAAAGCGAAGAGATAGCAATTCCATCGTCGTTCACTGTTGCTAAAAATTCCTACCTGTGTCGTCATCATCAAACAGTTTAAACGCTTTGATTATTTCCTCCGTTGGGTCTCTGTCCCCGATCTTCTGAGTCACTAAAAGGGAAAAAAAAGAAAAAGAAAAAAAAGTGTAGTCTTTGCTTCGGAATGACAACGTGCGTAATTTTCTCTCCTCCCTTTTTCTTATGTCCTTCTGCGTCTACGCAACTTCACCTTTGAGGAAGTCACCACTCGCCCACCGATCATCTCCCCCTTCCGGTCGCCTTACTAATGTCCAGAAAATCATTGTAGTCTATATAGCCCGAATTGGATTTATCGTATTCCCTCATCAGTTCCAAAACGTCTGCCTTCTTTATGTCAAACCCAAGTGCTCTTATTGCCACCTGAACGAAATATATATAGGGAAGAGACAGGAAGGGGGATTAAAATGGGAGAAGCTTTTTGGGGAAATTATGCCAAAGGGTAGCACCTTCCAGGGGAACAAACATAGACAGTGACATGCAGGGATTTTTAATCTTGGGGAAACTCAAACGGGGGGGTACTCAACCACGGAAGCGTAAGGTAAGTCATTTTGTACAGTTGAGCAAGCTTCTTGTATAGAGAAAAAAGAGGATGGTCTAAAGCCGTGTTATTTTTACTGCCTCGACTGCAGTGTTTTCGTTTGCCTCCGTTCGTTTGTTGCCCTCCCCCGTCTTCACGATTCTCTTTCGTAAAAAAGCAGTTACAATTGGAGGTGATACAACTGGCGGTGCCGCTCACACAAAAAACGCCGCTTGCCGCCCACTAGCGCGCCATACCTTCAACTCATGGTAGTCGATTTTCCCCGTTTTTTCCGTGTCAAATAAATCGAAAGCTTCCTTTATCTCATTCTTTTGTTCCTCCGTTATTTCGTTTCTACCCCTCCGTCGGTTGCTACTTATAGGCCTATTCGTAATGGCCCTTGGGGTGAAATTGGAAACTTCGCTTTTTCTGCTAATCATTTGGTGTGCCGGGCGACGCGCAAAATGGGGAAAATACGAAAGGCGCGGAAAACAAGCAAAAGGGGGAAAAAAGGAAGAGGCCCCAAAATTTGCTCACAGAGGTGTAAAGTTTTTAGGCCGGTCAGATGTGTAAATTTTTTAGGGCTAGCAGAGGTGTCCACTTTTTTGTGCCCACGTTCGTGAATTTCAAATCGCTATTTTTGCAAATTGAAGGGGGGTGAAAATGAACAGCTGGTGACACGCAGTGAAGAGGTGAAAAGGTGAAGAAGCGGCGAAGCAGATAATTCGTCAAGTCACTAATTGGAGAAGTCACCAATTGGAGAAGTCAATAATTTGGGAGATTCAGGAATTTTTTGCTTAACTTAGGAAATAGTGCTCACGCGCGGCGGAAAAAACATTGCTTAAGCGCGGGTATATCGGAAAATAAAAAACTTCACGCCCTCAAGCACCTTTTCGCGCCTCGGGAAGGCCGCTCCGGGGGAAAGGCTTGACAATCGGCTTTACACATGCGCATGTACAGGTGCACACGAAACATGGCACACGGCACAATGCCCTTTAGCACTTGCGCAATATCAAGGGCTGCCTTAAACTTCCAACAAACTTTACGTTTCGCCACGGCCTCTCTCTAATGCTTGCCACTTTTGTGCGCACACTTGAGGGAGAAAAAAAGG